CCCCAAAACCCCAAAACCCCAAAACCCCAAAACCCCAAAACCCCGAATTAGGATTCCAATATTGAAGGTATTGGGTTTGAGATGATCTTTATTCAAGGTTGACTTCTGGTAATCTTTCAGATACATAGGTTGGCACAGGTTTAGTAGGATCGTCTTTTGTTTCGGAATAGTTTGATTTAGTAGTCACTCCTGTCAATACAAGCATGGTATCAATTCCAATATTTTCTCCAAACTTAATATCAGTGTCTAACTTATCTCCAATCATAATGAACTCATCAAGAGGAACATCTTCAAGTTTATGTTCTTCAATGATGGTATCAAATAGAATTTTAGAGGGTTTTCCAATAATAATTGGTTTCTTTCCGCCTGCTGCTTCAAGCATCTTCATAATTGATCCTCCACCTGGCATTTGTCTAGTCCCTGTTGACCACACATTGTCTATATTTGATGCGACGAAGTGTGTGCCACCTAAATGATTATAATAAGTCCTACTTCTTATCAAAATACTTGCGTATCACAGCATCTTGTAAGTCCATTTATTTGTATATCCTCATATAAGAGTATCAATAGTTGGGTCTGACTGCATTTCTTCAAATTCTGCTTCTCCTCATCTTGAATTTTCATAATAATCTTTTGGCGGTTCTACAGCCTCAAGACCTTGCCTTCTAATTTCAGCAGAGACTCCTTCAAGTCCAAAAACGAATATCTTCTTACTTTTTAAAGCATTTTTGCAGTATGAGACAGCTGATGAAGTTGCTGAATAAAACTGTGAACTCTCTATTTCGCTTCCCATTTCAAACCCAATTCTTTTAAATTGCTCATACACCTCGATTTGGCCTCTCCAGCTCGAATTCGTGACAAAAAATACAGTCTTTCCCTTGCCTGTCAAATATTTGATGAACTCAATTGCTCCTTCAATTGGTTCTTCTTGGTCCCACAGGACTCCGTCTCAATCAAACAAGAAATAGTTGTATTTGTCGGTCAAAGCCTCAGCGGATACTTCCATGATTAATTTAATTTACTTCGAGTCAGACTGGGGTTTTGGGGTTTTGGGGTTTTGGGGGTTTGGGG